TGGTACCAGGAATTGAACTCAGGACCTTGTACTTGCCAGGCCAGTGTGTATCCTACTGAGCTATTTCCCCAGCCCCTAAATTTTTTTTAAATAAAGAGGTTCAAAAGTATATGTACTGAGGTATAAGGCCTAAAATAGAATAAAAATATCATGTGCTGCTATGACTTCTGGTGAAGCTAGGAGAATCTCAAATAGCCTAACTCAAATTCCCTTCCAACTCTGGCCCAGCAGATGAGATAAGTTTCCCTAACACAGGAGGATAAGATTGGCTTGTTCGAACAATTCTGTGAACTGGCAGGGGATCAAAACATTTAACTCAGGGATAATCAGGAACTAGCTGTCACTTCCTTGATTTTATTTATTTATTTATTTATCTATGGGAATGAGATGGACTTCATCCTTTTGATACTACAAAGCCCATGTCCCACTGTCCCTGGATGTCCATTCTGTTCTCAAGTACAGTCCCTAGGTGGCTTTGGATAGTATCTGGCACCTTTCTCCTCTGGGATGTTAAGTCTCTGAGGCTAATAAGCTGCCATCAATTTCAACTGCCTGGTTTCTGTTATCACATGTACAGAAATCCCCAGAAGCCTAGGGTACAAAACCTTCCTTCACCAATGGGATGGATAAAAAATGATTAAAATGTTGTAATATCTTTCACTGAGTAACCTCCCCACAATACACTAATAGGCAAACGTTCTCTTCATAGCAGAAGACCAAAGAGGAAAGATTCCATCCAGACTGGGGAAACCATGGACAGAGAAGCAGAGGTGGCAGGTTCAAAACAGAAGACAAACTAAAGCAAAAGAAGTACAAATATGTTCTCTTTTAGATTCTTTCCAACAGCCATCTTAGAACTTAGCAGCCCTATGTAGAAAACCAAAACACAACTCTAGATGACAAAAGAATCACAGAGGCCAGTAGTAGTCATACTCTGCATGAAGGCTGCCCCTTTCTGGGCCTTCCTCAGGGGAGCAGGAGTTCCAGGCTTAGTGGATATCTTACCTTCTTTGACATGTGGTAGGTCATACTCAAATCAATACACAGTCTTGGTCCTGAGTGTTTGGCTTCCAGAAGTTTCTCTTTGGTTAAGGCTCTCAGAAAACGTTTGCTATGCTGGGTGCAGATGCCTATAGCAGAAATATCAGAAGAATGGTATTCTGTAAGAATATCCTTCTGTATTTTTGCATATATAAAATCTTGAGACTTCTGTAAGGTATTCACTCATTAGGTTTATGAGCTGCAAAGTGGTGTACAGTATTGATCCTAAAGCACAAAGCTGGGTCTCATTAGTTATTTTGTTGTGGCTCTCAACCTAGGGCCTTGTGCATGCTAGGTAAGTGTTCTACATCTGGGCTACATCCCCAGCCCTTTTTATTTTTTGAGAAATAGTGTAAGTTTCTCCTGGATCTTCATGCTCCAGCCTGTCATGCTCAGGACTCCAGGCATGTGTCATCCCATCCAACTATACTTCAGTTTAAATCCAAGTTTCATAAATTCATTTGGTAACCGAATTATCTTAAATTTCTCTAAGCCTCTGCCTCATCTACAAGATAGGGATAACAAAACACTGAATAAATGCCAGATTTATCTTTCTTCCTGAGTTTATAAATACTTATGTCTTTCTTAGCAACTTTTTTTTTTAATTTTATTTATTTATTTGTGTGTGTGTGTGTGTGTGTGTGTGTGTGTGTGTTTGGCCAGCTCAGCCCACCAGGGGGCGGGCTGGCTGGCATGTGGTGCTGGGATTGAACTGCGGTCCCTGGGCTTTGCTAAGCTTGTTCTAAGTAGGTGCTTTAGACCACTGAGCCATCTCACCAGCCC